TCGCTACGTCAATGCCACATCAACAATACATATAAAATTATATATTTTTTTATTTTTTTAATTTAAAATGACAATGTTGATTTTGGTCAACATTGGACTAAATTATAAAATACTATTTGACATTTTGTCTACCGGCGTGGTTGTGTTCTCATGTGTCTTTATTTTTCTTTTTTTCTCGAAGAAAAAATATAACATCAAGTACTTATTTTATATATATATATATAATATAAAATCAAATACTATTTTACCTCAAATTTTTTAAAACAAAAAATACCATAAAATACATTCTTATTATTATTATTATTATTATTATTATTATTTAATTGGAATGCAAAATATATATATATATATATATATATCAAATGAATGTAAATAAACTAATGGTTATGTTTCTTTTTATAGGTTTGGTAAAATTTTGGTTTGAGTTTAGTATTAAAATAATATTAGATGGAATATTTTGTAAAAAAAAAAATGTATTTTTTTTCAGAAAACGCGGAGTTCAAATACTGATCTACAGTACCGAAGATGAATCTCCTGCAAGGATTGAACGTTACCAATAATATAATATCGAAGACACAATTTGACTGTAATTCTACATATCTTATACACACAAAACGATTATTCACAAGAAATTAAACAAGCAACAAAAACTTTAGTACAAACTCATAGAGATATGTTTCGATCATTTTAAGGATAGTTTTGAGCAAGATTTTTTCTTGTGGGATGAAATCGACATCTAGGGTAGTGTGTGTGTGTATATATATATATATATATATAATATATGACATGAAAGGGAAGAAATTATTGGAAAAAATTATTATTATTATTAGTGTCATGATCTTAATTATGAATGATGTAAGTAAAGAATAAGTGCATTGAGACACATGTACAGTGTTTGATGGTATGTCAAGGGACAAGTGAAAAATAACATAATTAGATGTGATTGAATTGAGACTGATTTATATTTGAAAATTAATAATAATAAATGAAAATTCAATTTAAAATATTAATTAGAATACTATTTATTTTTTGCATAATTCGTTCAAAATAATTTTATATTTGTATAATTTACTCCACAAATATAATTATATTTTTATATTATAAGAGACTAATAGAAATATTTTTTTTTTTTTGTATTATATATTAATATAATAATTAATATTTAAATATTTAATCGTAAAAAGCAATGACACTCTTATTTTAGGACGGAGGTAGTATGATAATTCATATGTAGCTATTTTGTCATTTTCGTTTATCCAACTCAAATATATTCATTTCATAAAAATGGTTTTTTACTTTAATAAAATAATATTCATACATTTTACATAATATTATAAATAATACCGTTAGAAAGTAAATGAACTTAAGATAAAATTATCATTTTGTCTTTCTATTGTAATATTACCTGTAAAATATACTACTTCATCCGTCCTAAATAATTTGGGGCTACTACCGTGGATACGAGAATTTAGATAAAATATAATTAATAAATAATTAAAAGTGTATTAGTAATTAAATTATTGTATGATAAAAATAATTATATATTAAAATTAAGATAACTAAATAGTTAATTAAAATTAAGAAAATTATAAAGTTTAAAATGTAATTGAATTGTATAATCATATTTCCAAAAATAAATAAATTATTTAGAACAGACGAAAATAGAACATAGGAACAAATTATGTAAAACAAAAAAATAAAATAATATTATAAAAATTTATATGCAAAAAACAAATGAATACATATGACTGAAACAAAAATATATATATTATAGAACCGCTAATAAATAAATTGTGAGAATTCGGATCCGTAGTAAATAAATTAAAACAAATATTGAACTATTTTATCATAAAATTATATAATCTATTAAAACAATATTATATACTACTATTATAATTTCATCCCACGAAGTAAAAAGATTACTATGTAATTAAAAACAATTAAATATATTGTATATAAAGTTTATTTGCAATTTGATTTCAAATTAGATCTAGTTTATAGAAAAATGTATTTTTTCCACAAAATTAGAAATTTAAACAGTAATTATTATTTTAAAAAAATGCTAAGTAAATGAATACTACTTTTTTTTTTTTTATCTTTTATTGGTTATTAGTATTATGATTCGACAACTATAATTAAGAAATGACAGACAAATTAGCCCACACATAATAATATATAATGACGACACCATGTTCTAGCACTTTTTGGGGAGCGTCAGGTTTCACCGCCCCGCCTTGTGGCATAAGGCGGTATGGCAACGCAGTGGCGTGTATTCTTTAGCCCGGTCCGAGTCCTAACACCAATTATGGCCCACACCTATTTGAACTGAACTTGAACCCGTCTAAATATAAAATCCTTTTGAAATTTATTCGATTCGTTGGCTTCTGTCCGCGATTCGTTGTTTTGTTATCTCCTCTGTTGCCTGCCGCTCCAGTCCCCCGCTCAATACCGTGTTGGGTGAGTCAAGTTTGAATTTTTATTTCTTTCACAGAATCGTCGTTGGCATTGATATTAATATCATTATATGCTTTTCTTTTTTTATTTTTTATTTTTTATATTATTATTTTATTATTAGCTATTAGTATTAACAGTATAATGTATATATTATATTACTATTATTAGTTAGTGTTTTAGTGATATTCATTTATATATAGATATATACGTATATATATTTAAAATATTATACATAGTGCGCTGCGTTTATCATTTTATCGCCATGGCAGACGCTACGCCACCATAATGATATAACGGTCCACCGGCACCGTACTCCAAAAGGGAAAGGGCGCCGTGACAAACATGGTTATGCCCTAAACAAAAGCCATCCAAAGATTTTTCATGGAAGATAAAAATAGACTATTATGACATAAACAAAGGCCATCCAAAGATTTTTCATTACCTAAAAAAAGTCTAATTGTGTTTTTAAGTATCCACAACGCTTTATCTATATATATATAATATTTCCTCCATCCGCCTTTAAATATCATATTTATTTTTTTGCATCTTGTACTTAACATTAAAAATATTTTTATATTTATATAATTTTTTATATGAATATCTTCTATTAATATTATAAGACACTAATGAAAATAATTTTACAATTTTTTTTTTAATTTATATTGTATTTTGATATAATAATTAATATTCAAATATCATCATGCAAAAAATAAATGAGACCCTTAGAACCGAACAAAAGTAGTATTTTTTATTCAAAATATTACATATTGTTGGTCCAACTACTTCAATCTACCAACTATTGATCGAGATATCCAGTTCTTAACACGAATGTGTGTATATATATATATATATATTAAAATCTGAATATGTTGTTTATAAAGGCTCCAAACAACTAAAGCTGGTGGCAGATGAATAAGGCACACAAAAGATGTTGACTTAGTTCGGCTTCCAACTTGGCCGAGGGTTCCAACCCATGTTTTTTCAACTAAAATATCGACTCCATACATAATTAAATGACAAAATGCACATCAATACCCCAATCACACAAGCGGGAGAGACGATCCCGAGACCTCAACCTATATCCTTCACGTCCTCATCTCCGATAGTTTTCTTCGGGTAATCAGCAAGACTTGTATCTTAATATCCAAGCCACACCTTCAATCAATGATTAAATCGCACGGGTAGTCCAGTCCGTCTATTGATTGGACGATAAGCTACTATATAGTCCGGTCGCCATTCCGGTGGATTCCATTTCAGATGCACGGCTTTCCTCACAAAAATTTCTTCTATATATCTCAATCATTACATCTACGTAGATTCACCCCATGATCAAATTTCATCGAGTTTGTCCATTGCAGCCATTCTATTGACCTTCAAACATCTGCCCACCCAAAATCTTTTTTAAGCCTAACACACATTACTACCATTTCACTCAATATCATTAAAATGGGATAAAACAGAAGCATGAAAAAAAAAAAGAGGTAAACAGACCTATAAGACCCACTAAAATGGACATGCATATTTAATGTGGTTTTTTAAATGAAAAATAAATTTTGTATATAATATATTATATAAAAGTAAATATATAATTTGATATTAAAAAATAAAAATTACTGTGTATAGATAGTGTAAGTTAAGTGTTAGAAAACACAACTAAACAAAATTATGTTTGAGATATCTTTTGTGGGGTTACTATATGTGTTTTAAAAAAAATAATACTACCTCTCGTCATTCAAATCTATACTCATTTTTCTTTTTGGGTTGTTATTAAAAATTATTTTTCGTATTCTTTTTAAGTAAAAAATCATTATACTTTTGCATTTTTTTACTATAAAAGAAAAAAATAACATTTATTATTCACTTATATTAAAATACGTATTCGGTCAAATGAGCACACATTTGCATAACGGAATGAGGAGTAATAAGTTGAAATAATTCTTTAATATAATATAAATGAATATTGCTTTGATATTTTGAATGTAAATTAATTTTTAATAAAAAAAATTATTTTATTTTTTTAGAGAAAAAGAATTTATAAATAGTAAAGGCCTATTGAAAATCCTACTACCAAAGAGAAGATTTTGCGCAAAACCTTTCCATTTATTCGAAGACCAAATTTCTAGGGTGTGTTTGTTCGGGAAATTCTCCCCCAAATACACTTTTCATCCCATTTTTTTCCCAAAAATATTAAATCAAATACTTATTTATCATTTTTTATATTATATTAAAAATCAATTTTACATTCAAAACATCACATTAACACCTGTTTATATCACATCATACAACTATTCAATTTCAAAATTTTTACTATTCAAATCTCAACTCAAAATCCAGACCCCCAAACAAAATTAATAACATTCTAACTACCTATTTAACAATTGTAAAACATACTAAAAAATTGCACAAACTGAATATAGCAGCAGCAAGCACAGATCTTGTAAAACTGATAAGAAACTCACCGGAAAATTTCTACTTTCATTCATCCCTCAACGTGAGAAATTACACTAACAAAAATATAATATGAGATTTTTCTGCTAACCAAAGTCGAAAACAATGGTGAATTGAAGAGTGTCTAGAGAGGAATCAACCCCAAGCCACAATATTTGTTACTCAAAATACAATTAGAACATAAGCTAAAATGCAGTACCAAGAATTAGAGGATGTACATGTATTGTCGTAACGTGCACTGAATCAATCTTATCTGTGCGAGTAATCAATGCGTATCCACATATATGAAACACCTAGTACATTAGTTAAGAAGTTGCCTGAAGCGATTTCTCATTCTTCCAGCATTTTTTTAACAGCAGTGAAAGCATACTTTTAATAATTGTAAGAAATATTGCAACAAATCTCGAACAATTTGCTATGTTGGGCTACAATACAACCTTGTTTCAGTAATATAACAATTTAGAGATACCTATACAACATTTCTTCAAGAAGCTACATTCAGTCATTTGTCAACCAAGCAAGCAGGCATCAATATCACTAAATTGTACATCTTTTCAGCTCCTGAGTACGGACCAATTGCTGCCAATATGTTCAAATGGTTGAAACTTGAGTGTAATAATCTTAGAATTGCAGTAAGAACTACCAAAACATAATAATAATGCAGAAATAAATTTCTGTGAATGAAGACCAGGAGGTGAGCAATGAGTTTCCAGTAATTCACTTCACTTATAAACACGACAATGATACATATCAAGGTGTCTCTCATTAACTCGAGGCACAATTTCTAGCCTGAAGGCATTTGAAGAGGTAGTAACATATATGCTGCATATGGGAATTCCTATAAATCACCAGGGGAAAAATTCTTGAAATTTAGAGACTGAATGGCAATCTGATTGTCAAAGAGAAGAAAGGAAAAACTGAGTCGTATTTTCTAGATTCCGTGCACAATCAATTGAGTAGAATACTTATAACTACTATAGGCACATCTAAGTAGAGAAAGTAAAGAACCTAGTTTGGGTACAATGAATCGAATGAACCTAGTCTAGGCACAATGAATCGAATATTTGGTTTTTAAAATGTATGTATTTTATTTAGTACTAAATTATTCTATTGAATACTAGAATATATTCTACTTAATACTAGGATATAGAATATATTTTTGTTACTACTAGGATAAATTTGACACTGTTCAACTAGTTTATAAATGAAGTTCTAGAATAAATTTATGTTCATGCAACTTTAACAAATTGACTGGCTTTGTATTGCCACCAGCCATTTTTATTTATTTATTTTCTGAACAACAATTGACTCTCTTTATTGTAGTTAAAAATTTTGAAAGTACAAAGACAAACAAAATAAACACTTAAATAAAAAAGGGTAACCAGACATACAACCACCAACTAAAGATGAAATAGCTAAAAACAGTATGCAAATACTAATAGATTTTCAGGCACTAAATGCTGATGGTCAAGTTCAATTTTAACTTAAGCCAAGCAGGAAATGATGAACAGCACAGAACCAAAAATCCTATGATTTTTCTTTTTTGATTTGTTTCTTTTCCTTGCAAACAGAGGCAGGGTTAAATGGGAATTTGGCACTTTAAAGACAGCTGAGAAGCACTACACCAACTGGTTGCATCAGTGGATTATTGAAAGAGGCAAGAAAAAACAATCACATTAACAAAATACAATTATGACATGATTTCCTTCACAAATGATAGAAGTTCAAAAATAAATCTGGTTTTATGTAATAACTTACCGTGACTAACAAATATACAATATTTGATCGAAGATGCAGCACATGAACATCATGCAGCTGATCAAGCACATTTTCAGAAGAGATGCATCCATATGATAGTACTTCTCCATGGTCCATCTCAGGAGAATAGGCTGTCTAAATTTCTTGGGAATGGTGTAATTTTTAGCTGGCCAGGGACGATGTATTCTGCCAATTGAACAGCTAAATAAGGAAATCAATTGGGGCTCAGTATCATGCCCAAGACAACCACTGCACTGCAATTGAATATAGATGCAGCAAAGATCAGCTGAATATGATAAAAACGGCCTACAATATACTTCAGATTTCAAACAAAATGATGTCATAAAATTAATTAACAGAACTTTTCTAGCCAATCACAGTTTCAAGCATTTCATCAACAATTGTCAAATTAGAACTGTCGATAAAATGCTATCTGCTCTTAAGTAAAGATAGTGACAATCCTAGCACCAATTGGGTGTTCTGCATAGCTAGATTTATTTTCACTTTAATAACAAGAAGATGATGTATAAATATACTACCCAATATGATATGTATCAGTTCATACTTATGATAGTGGGGTCTGTCAATTTTATTACAAGTGCTATTTGCTAAGAACTCCTACTTTGCCGAACCTACAGAACTTGATGACTTGAGTTGGCCTCCAAAAAAGTTGATAATGAGAATATCTTAGAACTATTATCCCCCACCCCCCACCCCCACCCCCATTGTAATAGAGCTTTCGTAAAGTTTATTTTTTGGTTAAGTATCCATACAAGAGGGAAGGCTTTCAGGGTTATAAAGATAAATCAGCAGAAAAATGAGATAAGTACAAAAATTATAAATTTAAAAAAAAAAAAAAAAAAAAAAATCCTATAATATGTCTTCAAATTGAAATGAGGGATTTAAACATGATGGCTTCTCTGAGTGAAAGTTTCTACGAGCTATACCCATACAGACTTCTAATCACATATAACTTGATAGTCAACATTCCTGACTTGTGAGCAAAAAGGCGAAACGCTATTGTCATGAACAAAGTTCAACATGGACTCTCAGACATCATCTTTCAAAGGCGGTCATTCCCACCCCACTAAATCCATTCTTAAGTGTGTCGTTATATTAGGAGAACACCAGATATGTAGAAACATTCATTATCCCAATACATCAATACACCTAAATCTTAAAATCTTGTTGTGTTTTGAATTTTCCCTCATCGATCCATCTAATTTATCCAAATTTATCCAACAATCTAAAGAAGTAGCTATTTGCTTGAGTGTTACCTCTCTTACTATTGTCTGTAATGTGATCCACCTCCATATACTCATGTACCGTTACCTCGAAGTGCAAACAAACCACTGTATTTTTATTTTTTTTTTTTTTTTCACCAAACATGGTGCAAAAGAAAATGAAGAATTATCAGTTTGGCTGTAGGTTTTCTTTGGTGACTCTTCCCTGCAATATTGTCATTCCACAGCTTTTCTCTATATTTCCCCTAGCTAGTTATTTGTACTTTGTTTTTCCCCTTCCTTCTTAGATAATACTGTAATTCTCATCCAAATTAATAATAATAATAATAAACAAATAAACTCTTTCTACTCTCATAAAAAAATAAAATAAAGTTGCAACGTGATTCAAACAAAGAAAACACTGCAAAACTCGAAACAAGGAGAATACATAGAACTGTTAAAGCATCATCAAAGCTCATAAATGGCCAAGATCCAACCTACGAATTAACTATAACTCAACAGCAAGGCAATCATAAAAAGACAATATTTATAAAAAAAGAATTTCAACAGAAGTATTCGTATCGAAATAGAGAATCCAATTGAAACCGATTTCCTCGATAATTAACAAATCAATCATGTTCTTACCCCATCCTTGCAATCAGATGAAAAACCCAAGCGGCAACGGATCCAAACCGCAGAAGTGCCCCCAGCATAAACATCGATAACAAAACGTTGAATTAAATCAATTCGATCACAAATCCCTAGAAGATAGCACGAATTCACGACATCACACCACCAATTTCGCAAGAACGGGGAAATGATACTTGTTGATGTAATTTTTCAACAAAAATAAAGTAAAATTCAAAGATATAGAAAATATCCTTAAACTTGATTAATTAGTGCCTGAGATTAGGAATCTCTAAACACTGTATGGTACAGAAAATAAACTGGAAAATAAAAGACTGAAATTTAAAGTGGTGATCCCCAAATCTGACTTTGCTTTGTTGAAGTTGATTGAAGATCCCTTGCCAAATGATGATCCAAATCCTTAAATATTCCCTGGGAAACCGTACTGAAAACCGTCACCCGAACGGTTACAACGTCTCCTTCTCAACCGTCTTCCAACCTTTCTTATGCTGACACGTGTCCCCAGCAGACCAAAAATTCCCTATATTTCACTCCTTGAGCCGACCACAGACCTTCCGCTCTTTTGGCCCGACTGCCAATCTACAATAGTATGGGTCCGACCGCCAATCCTCCCGACTTGCGAACCATCTGGCTTGAGGTCTTTCCGCCTTGAGGACTTCCCGACCTGAAAACCTTCCGACTTGAGGTCTTTCCGCCTTGAGGACTTCCCGACCTGAAAACCTTCCGACTTGAGGTCTTTCCGTCTTGAGGACCTCCCGACCTGAAAACCTTCCGACTTGAGGTCTTTCCGTCTTGAGGACTTCCCGACCTGAAAACCTTCCGACTTGAGGTCCTTCCGTCTTGAGGACCTACCGACCTGAGGTCCGTCCGTCCTAATGACTTTCCGTCTTGAAGACCTACCGACCTGAAGACCTTCCGACCTGAGGTCCTTCCGTCTTGAGGACCTACCGACCTGAGGTCCTTCCGTCCTAATGACTTTCCGTCTTAAGGACCTACTGACCTGAAGACCTTCCGACCTGAGGTCTTTCCGTCCTGAGGACCTACCGACCTGAAGTCCTTCCGTCCTGAGGACCTACCGACCTGAGAACCTTCCGTCCTGTATTTTCCTTAGAAATAAATAAATAAATTTATTTTCCTTGATTTCCTCACGGTGTCCTTCAGCCAGTTCAATCAACCCTATTGCCAGGCCCATTCTTCTTTTTTACCTTGGGCTTTTAACCTAATTCTAAATTTCGTACGTAACAACTTGCCCGCCGCCAAGGGACTTTCAAACGCCATTTAACAATCAATGTTTGGAAGTTCATAAATCACTACCCTCTTGAAAAACTCCCTTAGCAACTGCACCAGTTACTGAAACACGCCTGATAAACTTCCATCTTCGCAATACAAGCCTGTGTGAATCACAATCCCAAAACATTCTAACTATGGCGAATCAATACATGCCTGCCCTTCCTTTCGACGGAACCCTTCCAGAAGGTCCATTTTCAGCCTCGAAAGTACTAACTCCGACGATCCGTCCATATTGCACTACTCCTGAAGATTCATATCACGAAAGCTCTGGTTGATGATGCCATTCAGAAAAAGGAGGCAGAATTGCGGGAGCTGAGGAAAGAACAGTCTACCCTGGATAAGCAAATTACCAATGAACAGCATCTGCTTGAGAAGTATACCAAAAATGAGGCTGAATTGGATCAAGAGCTGAAAACCCAAGCCCGATCCCAATTCATCAGAAGATATCAGACGGCTGCCATTACCAGAAGGCTATCCAGGGATGAAAACAAATGGACACAAATAAAAACTGCCCTAGGGGCACTGTTGTAATATTTCCCCCTTTGTAACAACAACTGACTTAGTAATCCATTTTTTTCTTTCTTCTCTCAAAACAAGGATCACCTTTCAATTCCCAACTTTATAGGAAACGAACCAAACTCCTTCTTTAAAAGAACACTGTTTCTCACATTTTAAGAAACATATTCCCAAGCATATTTTAAAAATCAAAACACTGAAAGTGTGAACAAACATGGCGAATGACCGACCTCATGTTCCATCAAGCAACTGGGAGGGTGTTCTTCAACCCTTCTTTGTAGGTAATCACCCTATTGGAGGCCATGCAGAAGACTTGTTATATATACTCAAGCAACTAGACTTCAAATTCCGATTCTCCCAACGAGGTAGAAGAACTATTCATCGCGTCATCCTCCTGATGGAAAAAGTCATTGAGGGGTATGAACCTCTTCATGACATCCTCAGCCGCATCCCTGATCTCCATCATCACATGGAAATGATTGAAAATCATGCAGCAACCATACTTCCAGACCTTGGTTGGGATAACATATTTTCCAATCAACGAAAAGTCTTTTCAAGATTGCGTACCATTGTTGACCGTGAACATCAAGCCCTAACAGACATGCAAGCACGTACCCATCAAGATCTAGATGACATGCAAAGCCAATGGGAAAGGTACCGACCAGACTTGGAAGATCTTATTGAAGAAGAACCAGAGCTAATATCCACTCACTGGGATGAAAAGTCTGATTCAGAGACAGAAAATTTCTCACAACTACACGATGACTAACAGAAATGAACCTTCCAGTAGGTTCGAACCCCCATAAATGGGTTCTGAATAATATGTGGTTTCAGGCAGTTTTGTTATCTGAAAAGGCAGGATAATACCTCTTCAGATATTTAGCATTAATACAATCATGTACTCTTCTACCTTCATGATTTACAATAATGAACGCGCCATTTCCAATATCTTTTTGAACAATGTATGGTCCTTCCCAATTCGGTGACCACTTTCCCAATTGATCGGTTTTCTTATATGTAGGAAGAATGGTCTTCCAGACTAGGTCTCCTTTTTGGAATGTCCTGTGAAGAACTTTCTTTCCATAACTCCTTGCTCTGATTTCACTCTGTTTCACACTTCGATCTATTGCATGGAGACGGTTAACATCCAAATCTTCTAACTGCTGCAACATAATTTGTTGGTATTCCTTTGTAAGATCACTATCAGTAAATTCTGTTCGGCCAGATGACACTCGAATTTCGGCTGGTAAAACAGCATCTTGGCCAAACGTAAGTTGGTAAGGTGAGAACCCTGTGGCCGTATTTCTGGCATTTCTATGTGCCCATAAAGCCTGAGACAATAACAAATGCCACTTTCTTGGGTTCCCTTCAATCATCTTCTTTATAATCCCAATGATAATCTTATTTGCTGCTTCCGCCTGTCCATTGGCTTGGGGATAATATGGTGAAGAATGATGTAACCGAACACCGAATTCTGCCAAGAAATTAGAGAACTTTTCCCCTGTAAAGACCAAGCCTTGGTCGGTTGTTATAGACTGAGGAATACCATATCTGTAAATAATTTGGTTCAAAACGAAGTCTATCACTTCTTTCTGATCCACATTTTTCAAAGCAACTGCTTCCACCCATTTGGTAAAGTAATCAGTCGCGACCAAAATGAAACAGTGATGTTTCGATGAAGCAGGATGTATCTTACCAATAATATCCATAGCCCACGATTTAAAAGGCCATGGTTTTGCCAAGAATTGCAATTCGGTTACTGGCAAATGATTCAAGTTTCCATGTCTCTGACATTCCAGGCAGCCTTTTGCAAATTGTATGCAATCCTCAAAAATCTTAGGCCAGAAAAAACCCAAGCGATGAATGGCCCATCTCATATTGAGACCTGCCCGATGAGCTCCACATATCCCACCATGTACTTCTGTCATCACTTCTAGAGCTTCTTTAGATCCCAAGCATTTCAAAAGTAAACCTTCAAATGATCTCTTGTACAAAATTCCATTTATCAATTGAAAACGTAAAGCCTTCAATCGTGTCGCAATTGAAACACTCGCACCAGGATTCTGTAAATACAGGATAAGCTCTGTTCTCCAATCGGACACTGTTTCGCCATCGGACTTCTGTCCGATAAAAACTTCGTAATCGGGCTCCTGTCCATTATCCTCTTGCCCGACCGTAACCTCGCAGTCGGACTCCTGACCGATATCCTCTTGCCCGACCGCAACTTCGCAGTCGGGGTCCTGTCCGATATCCTCTTGCCCGACCGTAACTTCGCAGTCGGGGTCCTGTCCGATAGTCTCCTGCCCGACCGTAACTTCGCAGATCGGGTCTGTCTTTCCTTCTATGCCCGACTTGACCTCCGACCACATATCCTCCAGAATTCCTTTACATGCCCTTTGAGCCAATTCATCAGCACGTTGGTTTTCTTTCCTCGGAATGAACTCAATTATTACCTCTGAGATTCTTGTCAGTAGCCGACTCACAATGTCCCTATATCTGCGAAGATGAGGGAAATTGCACACATATTGATTGTTTACCTGGTTGACTACTAATTGAGAATCCCCCCTTATGATTACAGACTGGACCTTCCTGGCAATTAAAGCCTCCAAACCCAAAATTAAAGCTTCATATTCTGCCGAATTATGGGTCATGGATTCCAATCGTAGTTGTAAGTTGATCTTTTGACCATCAGGTCCTTGCAAAAAGACCCCTGCCCCCGATTTGTTTCCAGAGGTAGAACCATCAAAGAACATCAACCATGTTCTGGTACTTATATAAGGCACACATCCGACCTGTAGATTATCCAGATATGATGCACAACTAAATGGTCGGACACTATCACAAAGAGAATACCCGACTTGTGAGAATTCTGCCAAGAAGTCGGCTACTGCTTGTCCCTTAATTGCCCTCAGCGGGGAATGTTGAAGATCGAAAGGAGCCAATTTGATGGCCCATTTCATGAGTCTGCCCTTCATAGTAGGTCTCTGTAAAATCAATTTGATGAGATCCACCTTTGATATGACCTCAACTCTTCTGGGCAGCAAATAATGCTCGAGTTTAGTGCAAGCGAAGACCAATGAATAACACATTTTTTCTGGCATAGTGTAATTCAGTTCTGGTCCTGTAAGGGTTTTACTGAGATAGTAAATTGCCCTTTCCTTCCCGTCATCACCATCCTGCGCCAATAAACAACTAACCACTTCATATGTATTTGCCAAATAAAGTTTGAGTGGCCGACCTTGTTTGGGAGGCATCAAGACTGGAGGATGAACCAATGCCTGCTTGATAGCATCTAAAGCCGTTTGTTGGTCGGGACCCCATTCAAAGGCAATTTTTCCAGCTTTCAATAATTTAGTAATGGGTCTGACCT